CAAGAGCATGGAATATCTTTCCATTTTTTAAAGTCTTCTTTAATTTCCTTCATCAATGGTTTATAGTTTTCTGTGTATAATTCTTTCGCCTCCTTGGTTAGATTTATTCCCGGATATTTTATTACTTTGGGTGCTATTTTAAAGGGGATTGTTTCTTTACTTTCTTTTTCTGTTGATTTATCATTAGTGTAAAGAAAGGCAACTGATTTTTGAACATTAATTTTGTAACCTGCTACCTTGCTGAATTCTTCGATCAGCTCTAGTAGCTTTTTTGTGGACCTTTTAGGGTTTTCTATATATAGTAACATGTCGGGGGGCATGTTGAGGTGTAGGGAAGGTTGGGAGGCAGGGATTGCCAAGGGGTGAAGGAAATGTTCACCATCTCTGTAGCTGTGATGGTTTCACAAGTATATACGTGCATTAAAACTTATCAAATGGTACACTTTAAATATATAATTTATTGCTAAGCTATTAAAATAATAAAAATAAAACAAAAGCAATCCAAAGAATTACTTCAATTCATTCCCAGCCCAGGGTTCCACAGACTTCCAGATTAGGAAGCAGTCAGCTAAATAGCACACTTAAGCTTTTAGGTGGAAAACAGAGTATTGTTTCATAACAGAAATTGGATATAAGAGGGATAATGATTCAATGACTGTTAGTTTAATACACTCTGACAGATGTTTCAGGAATGATAAACTAGATCTCAGCTGAGGTTTTACTTCCTTTTTTCTTTCTTTATCATTTAGCGATGGAAATGGATGAGAGAATAAGGGTGGCTTAATCTAAATGACACAATCATGTGGCTCACATAGATAACATGGCACCAGTGTCTTTGATCAGATGCCCCTGCTCTGCAAAGTGGTATTTCATAGAATATTAGATATGGGAGACAGCAGTCTCAGGTGGAAAATGATGTTAAATAGCTTTCCCAAGGCCACACAGCTACAATTTGGTGACATTTTTAAAAATTCAATTCCAAAAAAAAAGACTTGGGGCAGAATACATTAACTGGTAGCCAATCCTCTGACCAGGCCACCAGTTTTTCTGATTTCCTGTTTATTCACAGGACCACATCAGGCATGAGATTTAAAAGAACTGAGACAGTGATTCTTAATCTTCATTGGATAATAAAAACAAGAACCCCCAGCCGCTACCCCAGTGTTGATCCAATTTGTTTGGGCAGGACAGTGTTCTCAAACTAGAGCATGACACAGAATCACCTGGGGAGCCTGTTAAAACAGATTGTGGGCCCCACCCGCCAGCGTTTGATTTTAGGAGTTGGAACAGTGCTCAATAACTTACATTTCTAACAAATCCTGAGGTCACATTGATGCTGCTGGTCTGTGAACCACACTTTGAGAACCACTGGAAGTAAGAAATTAGGTGATTTTTTTTTACTTTAAGTTCCCCAAGATAGTAACATTCAGCCAGTTGAAAATCATTGTTCTAAAAACAATCATTCTCAATCTTCTTTGGAATCACCTGGGGAATTAGAAAAAAATACTGCTGCCTGAGTCCCTACCCCAGAGCTGCTTTTTCTTTTTTTTTTTTAATTGATCTGGGACGCAGCCCGAGCCTTGGGATTTTTTAAAGATTGCATGATTTAAAAGAACCATACTTCAGATGATTCTAATGTGCAGCCAAGCCTGAGAGTTGCTGAAAATTTTCTGCTTCCTCAATTCTTATTAACATTTACCTAAAATTTCCCCAGAGCTGGGTACTTTTGCCATTATAACATATTAGAAATTCCTTTCTAACTTCTTGTCTGTGAACAGTGACTTGTTTCCACTTTGATGTTTTACTAATGCTAATACTTCATGAGTACTTGCATGTTGAAGGCCTGGTGGTGAGGGCTTTATCTATTTACCATTTGTTTGTTTTGCTTTGCTTCCTGAATGGTTATGCTTTAAATAATCTTTCCTCAAAGAGAGAGCTTGTAATTTCTAAAATCAACATTGTCTTCTAATTTGGGGTTAATATATATCACATTTTATTCTGTTTCTTGGGTTAGAAACCCAAGATGTGAGGGGAGGGAGTGGAGAGAGGGAGGGAGACAAGGGGTAGGGTGGATCTTATAGAAAAAAATTCTTCTGATTCTAACATTACACTTAGTATTTGATTCTCTATGGCTCTTTCCTGGGGTCTCTGGAAATTGATAGAGTAATTCCAAGAGGAAAATTCTATGAATACTTATGACTCCAACCAAAGACAGCTGATTTTCCTCTTCCTCTTGATTAATGCATTTCTTTCATTTCCAACTTAAAAAAAACCCACTAATTTTTTCCCAAAAGTAACTTCCTTTGGAACAAATTATAATACTATTAAGAACAATGATGTGATTGCTTTCAGGTAAAGGGGCTTTAGCTGAAAGGACTTAAAAGGAACTATGCAGTTCTTTTTTTTTTTCCTGTATGTACTTATTTATTGAAGTACAGTCAGTTTACAATGTTGTGTCAGTTTCTGGTGTACAGCATAATGCTTCAGTCATACATGAAAATACATGTATTTGTTTTCATATTCTTCATCTTAAGTTACTACAAGATATTGAATATAGTTCCCTGTGCTATACAGTATGAACTTGTTGTTTATCTGTTTTATATATATTAGTCAGTATCTGCAAATCTCAAACTCCCAATTTATCTCCTCCCACCCCCTTTCCCCTTGGTAACCATAAGTTCATCTTCTACGTCTGTGACTCTGTTTCTGTTTGGTAAATAAGTTCGTTTGTCTTTTTTTTTAGATTCCACGTATAAGTGATATCATATGGTATTTTTCTTTCTCTTTTCTGGCTTAACTTCACTTAGAATGACAATCTCCAGGTCCATCCATGTTGCTGCAAATGGCATTATTTTATTCCTTTTCATGGCTGAGTAGTATTCCATTGTATAAATCTACCACAACTTCTTTATCCAGTCATCTGTCGATGGACATTTAGGTTGTTTCCATGTCTTGGCTATTGTAAACAGTGCTGCTATGAACATTGGAGTGCATGTATCTTTTTGAAGTAAGGTTCTTTCTGGATATATGCCTAGGAGTGGGACTGCTGGATCATATGGTAAGTCTATATTTAGTTTTTTGAGGAATCTCCATACTGTTTCCCATAATGGTTGCACCAAACTATATTCCCACCAGCAGCGTAGGAAGAGTCCCTTTTCTCTACAGCCTCTCCAGCATTTATCGTTTGTGGACTTTTGAATGATGGCCATTCTGACTGTTGTGAAGTGATACCTCATTGTAGATTTAATTTGCATTTCTCTGATAATTAGCAAAATTGAGCATTTATTCATGTGCCTGTTGGCCATTTGTATGTCTTCACTGGAGAATTGCTTATTTAGGTCTTCTGCCCACTTTTGGATTGGGTTGTTTGGTTTTTTTATTATTAAGTTGTATGAGCTGTTTACTGCAGTTCTTTCTACCTGTATCACAGGTGTGGTTAACGCCTCCTATCAGGGCCCTGTGCTCACTCTTCACAAGACGGCACTGATTTGTGCTGCTGTACAACACTTCTCGTGCAGAAGAGCATTTTCAGACTTAATGTGAAGAATGCATCCTACAGCTTTAGTTCCTCAAGTACTATTTGTTTCAAGTTTTGTGAGATCATGAAATTATTTGTTTCAAGTTTCAGGAGCCATATTTTTAACTTTTAGATCTGTGGCCTAGCCAAGTGTTTAATAAATGGTACTTAATAAATTTTGACTAAATGAATGTGTGCACATGTGTATTTGCTTCACATAAACCAACACCCACGGGGAGACCAAAGCTCAGACAACTCCAAGAGTTAAGGAAGACAAATGCCGCCTTTATAGTCCAAGATTTCATTTTTCTTTTTTCTGCTTTTCGATAAAAGCACAATTCACTCTAAAGAGGCCGGATGGTCCATCTCCTCACCTACCCATTTTCCTTTTTAAAATGGGCAGAGCACCTATTCTGATCCTACCACAAAACACAGAATTAAACAAACATGACTCTGGGAGGTGTTCATATATAAAATGCAGCCGTGCAAATTCTATGATACATTTTGCCAGAAAATTGCTGGGCAGCTTTTCAAGACCAATAAGCCCATTATGGGAAAGAAACTGGCTGAAAAAAGGGATAGGTGAGAAATCACTGCAGGGAGGTCAGAGTTCAACCTAGGCCAATACACATGACAGCACTTAGGTCCCCTCATCTCTCTGTGCTTCCTCAAATGAGGAGGTGGTACCAAGTGATCTCCTAGCTCTGACACCGCCTACATCTCTATACTTTTCTTCTTATGATGGCTTATGCAATCATTGTGGAAATGCTTAAGAGCCAAGAAAGAAAGTCTACATATTACATATTTGCTTTGAAGTATAAGAAAAGAAAGAACTGATTTTAAACAATTGTAAAATGCCAGGCTTTGGGGATTTTGTTTTGTTTTGATGGGTATTAAATATATTCTTCTGTAGTAGCTGCTGCTCCGGTTTTCATGTAACAATTTTCCAAAGCAATTTGGACTTGCATTATATTATTGTTTAAAATGTTGTCTGAAGCCAGGCTGGATAACATTTTTGTTTTTAGGCATAGGATTCAAATTATCAAGTGATACAGTTTAGTTTATAATATTAATAAGTTTTTCAGGAACCTGTTTCACACTATAGACTGCTTTGAAACCAAGACAAAGTTATTGTGGAACCACCAAATAGGTTCTAAACAAAGCTGATCCAGTTTATTCACCTGTCTTGGAAATTATTCAGCATTGCTATGGTTAGGTTGAGGCCCACCAACCACCTGAGTCAAGTTAATTGAAAAAGACTGGCTCAATCGAGTCCAGGTCCTCGTGCTACATGGATCTTCCCCCAGTGAAAGCGTTAGGTATAAACTTTATGACACCAGAATGAGAACCAACAACTCAGAAACCATAAAAACAGCATAAATCAAAATCACTATCTATTAAACAACTAGCTTAGCTCCGAGCTGAGCTTTGGTTATTGAAATAATTTAAAAGAACTAATAATAGCCAATCCACACCACACCTGTTTGTAATCATGGAGAATTTTAACAAGTCATTTTTCAATACAAAGAGATAGTTTGTTTATGCCTTATTCCTCAACAATAACACCCAAACACTGAAGCAAAACAATCAGTTATCTATTTGCCAACTGATGACCAACAACAGAACTTTAGTGTTTTCAGGAGTCGGGCCATTTTTATCCTTATTTTACACAGCTAAGCCAAGGCTTCTGTCATCAGAAGGCGCAATCTGCTGCTAGGGTCTGCCCGAACTCCAGGCACCTGCTTTCTCTGGTCTGGAGGCAGATGGTACATCGTAAAACTGAAAGTCATGGGGAAAATGTACAGGAAGATATTCCCTTTAAAACCCTTTAGGAGGTAATTTCCCTAAAATCAAATACTATAAATAAACATGTTTATGTTAATATCTTAGCTTAGAACTTGGGAACTGATTCAGGGGCATTAAAAAAGTTTCCTTAGCCTGATTCATATTCATGTGTCCACATATTTCCATAGAATGGGAAGACAGCCTTTCTGTTAGCTCACTGGCACCTAAGGCAGGATCTCCTGAACAGCAGCAGCTGTGGAACTTACCCTTCGGTATTACCTCTAGCTGTGCCTTGACTAAGCTCTCATGGAAACTGACACCACAGAGGTCTGAATTAGCTCAGGCTGCTGTAGCACAGACTGGGTGGCTTAAACAACAGGAATTTACTTCTCACAGTTCTGGAGGCCGGTTGAGTCCAAGATCACAGTGCTGGTCAGTCTGGTTCCCCTGTGAGTCGCCTCTTCTTGGCCTGCAGATGGCTTCCTTCTTACTACATCCTCACGTGGCGGACAGAGAGCAAGCTCTGGACTCTCTTCCTCTCCTGGCAGGAACACTAATCCCAACATGGGGGCCCCACTGCATGATCTCATCTAAACCTAATTACCTCCCAAAGGCCCCGCCTCCAACTAGCCTCGAGTTAGGGCTTCGGCATATGAATTTTGGAGGGACACAAACACTGAGTCCATAACAATGGGATAACCTCACTTATATTGTAGGGTTTGTACAGATGAGCTAGGCTGTAATAAACTGGCCTCATATTATGCTTTTCCACAATGATTATTAAGGGCGGTGCTTCTCAAACTTTAGGCGCATCAGAATCCCTGAAGCTTGTTAAAACACGGATTTTTTGGCCTGACGCCCAGGGATTCTGATTTAATAGGCCTGTGCTGGGACCTGAAAACTTTCATTTCTAACAAGCTCCCAGGTGATGCTGCTGTTCTCTGTCTGAGGACAACTGATACAGGGGTTCCCTTCGGAATGTTAATATCAGTTATGATTCTGTGGGTCTGTATTGGCTTCTCAGTAATACCTATTTTATGCTGAACACAACTGAAATGTGTCAGTTGCTTATACACAGATGTTGCAGTTACATACAAAGATGCTCAGTAAGCAGGTGGACAGATCCGCTGAGGCAAGGCTGCCTCGTGCTGTGAGCACCCAGGGAGTCAATTAACTCAGAGTGTCTCATTGGCTAGTGTGCAACTTCACTAGTCACCAGGATTTACAAGAATGTCTGCTATCTTACTACTAATTTTTACCCTAAAATTTAGATGTAGTCTTTAAAGTTGCTGGATTCTGCTATCTTCTGTCTACAAGCACGTTGCAATTGTTTAAACTAGTATCAAACTTTGACGAAGCTTAATGGGAAGCACTTGAGCAATGCTGACTATGTTCAACTCATTTGTCCTATCATCACACTTGGTTAAATTTTAAAGCATGGCTCTATCATGAAACAGCATAATTTTAAGATTTACTTCAAGTACTCTTTGAAATGTAAACATACCTTATTTAGCTTTACGAAATATTCCAGTCCAGCTTCCAAGGGATTTGTATCACAGTTCATCTAAAAGGGAAACAGGCATTTTAAATCTTAGATGAGTGCAAATCGTTTCACTAACATCACTTTCATATATCATTTTTTTTAGGGAAGAAAACACTTTTTTATTTTGAATATAGGTTCTAAAAGAAGAAAATTGTGAACTGGTCTCTACAGTAAATTTTTAAATCTAAAAATCAAATGGAGCCTTTCAGCAAATACTGTTATTTGAATAGAAAATTAGAAACTAAACTTCACAGTTGGTTTCCCGAGGCCTTTTTAGTATAATCGACATCTGAGGGATACCACAACATGCTTCTTTCCAGAAACAAGATTTTTCTCATGCTCTTATGTAAGAATTTTACACTAATAGGTTGTGAAAAGTTATTAACTAATTTACGTGTCTTACAATTTGCTAGGAATCAGGAAAAGTCGAGGAGAAATCAGATGATAGGCAAATGCCTTCTACAGAGTTCAGAAGAGGGAAAAGGGGGAAAAAAAGAGGTTGAATCTCAATTTTTTCAAATTGGTTGAGTTATTACAATATACTTCAAGGCAAGCTAAAGCCACTATTTGCGATTAGACCTGAAGTTAATGGTTTTTGTTTGTTCGTTTATTTTTGTTGTCATTTGTCTCTTTTGCTCCAAGAGAACTGGCCTAAATCCCATGAAAAGTAGCCAACTTAAAGAAAAGGATACCACCACCCTCATATACCTAGATGAGTAATACGAACTTGCTTTACATGATATGAAATTTGGCCTCCTATTTCCTAATCAATTTGAGCAACTCTGAAATTATTTTTTACCTAAAATTATTTTATTATTTTTCAAAGTAATTTTAAAATTATTGCTCAAAGTTTTAGAATTCCAGGGGGAAAAATTTTAAGTCCAGAAGATGGATTGCTGTAGTAACACTAGAGGGCGTGCTGGCACTGCTGGAAAATCGGAGGGACCGGAGACGGAGAAGGCTATTCAGCAGAGGGCTCTCAGGAAAAAGGCAGAAGATGAAAGGCAGGAGGGTGGAGAAATGCCTGACTCCCAGGGGCGGCTTCTGCTGCTTCCTTCCTTGCAGAGTGTAGAGACAGAGCTATCCTCTAATTCTCTCCCTGCAGCAGCCTCCTCTATGGCCCCCATTGTAGGCTGAAAATCGCCTAACAGAGCATCTCTTCTGCAAAACAAGAACTTGCCCCAGGGCTCTTGTTCTTTCAGTGGCTCTGAAGGCTGCCATCTCCACCTCAAAGCCCACTTGCTTCTGCCCCTGGTCTAAATGTCCAAGGGGCCCTGCCTGTGCTTTCCAAACCACTTTGCCCCCAAATTAAATCATTCTATTATGTCCTAAACACGTTGCAGACTTTAATCTTTACGATAACTCTGTAGGATAAAGATTGCCTTTATCTAGAGAAGTAAACAGCGGCTTTGGAGGGTTAAGGCTATATAGTTACTATGTGGTAGAGGATAAATTCAAACCTAAGAGACCCCACTCTGAAGTACATCCTTTACCATTGTCCCTTATCCCACCTCTCAGCCCTAAAACCTCAATGTCTTCCAAGGAAACAGCCAGCCAATCTGAAACAATTAAGGGGTCTAAAAATAGCTGGCCATATTGCAGATAAAATAGGAGAACAGAGTTTGAACCCCAGTTGGGCCACTGCTGTGTAATCTAGACATAGTTGTTCATTGTTTCTTAGGGTGAGTGTGTGTCCAACAGGGATTGTGTTTGGAACTCTCAATCTCCTGCCTAAGAACCACCAATAATACCTTCTTCAGGGAGAGTTGAGGAGGTAAATTAAGTCATGCCTATGAAAATGGTGTGTAACTGCACAAAGAGAAACCTTTAGATTCCATTATTAATGGTGGGAGGTTCTGCCAACCAACACACCCCAGACCACCAACCCTGCCCCTCAGGAAGACACCTTTTGTAGTTCTTCCCCCAAAAAGTGCATGATAAGGAAATGAGGATGTGCAATGTGACAGAGGAGAAGGAAGGATTTGAAAGGTGGTCCTCAAATCCCATGGGGTAGGCAGGCTCCTTGGGGACAGCCACAACTCTGCACACAAAGACAGATGTCCAGGGCTCTGCCAAGCAGGAGAAATTAAGGCAGAGTAAACATTATGTCATAATTCCATAGAACTTGCAACTGGGAAATTCAGGAGAAAAATCTCTTTCCCTAATTAAATAAAATTATAATACACACTTTTCCTTATAGCCAGAGCCAATGTTAACACAGTTAAAACTTGCCCTTATATAAAAGTCAGATACAATACACATAAAATTTTAATGAAGACGTTCGCATTTCAAACCTCTGACCCCCAGGCTCGGAAAGCTTTCTCCAGTCTTAAGGCATTCATGGCATATGTTCCAAAATTGTCAATTCCCTCCTCCTGGCCTGCATTCATGACGACATCATAAAGTGCTGCAGAGTCTTCTCGTCTGTGGTACAGCTCCCAACCCAGCTCACCTGAAGTACAGCCACAAGTGCCACACCAGAGTTAGAGTGATGATCGTAGGTCTAACAAGCATTAGCTACAACACATCAATAAATGGAGAGATTCCATTTATGCAATATAGGCATTTGTTGAGTTTTAAAAAGACCAGTCCACAGAAACATTGCAGCAAAACCCCACTGCAAAGAAGCTTGCCATACCACAGATGCGTTTGTGCCCAATCCTGTCCCCCATGCGGAGAGCAGCATCTAGGACACCTCATGACACAGAAAGACTGCAATGCGGGAGTTAATCTTGCCCTCTGACCTCAGCTTCATAATGTTAAGTGAAGAATTTATCAAGATAAGGGTTCAAGGTTTAGACACCTCAACTCCCAACTCCTTTCCCCCAAATCACAAGGCTTAAAAACATAGGCAATTGATGACGATTAATCAAATGGTCTTCATTGTAGGACAGCCATAGTCTCTAATGCCCCCCATTCCCTGCTCCTTCCCCACTTGATCATTTCATTCAGCATTAGAGCTGTGGGCAAAAAAAGAGGAAAATGAAGCCCAGCCCAAACAGTCTGCTTCTTTTTTATTCTGTTTATGTTCTATTCTGGTCACCATTTACCAAGCTTGGGTGGAAGAAGGATGGGGAAAAGGGACAGTGGAAGCCCAGGGAAGAGCTGTGGCCTTTATACTGTGCATTCACCTGGTTCCCCCGTGTTGAGGGCTGATGGTGAGGTGTTTTCCCAGGACACCATCAGAACATGGGCAACATGTAACTGAGTGACTGCCTGGGCACGAAGCACTCCTACTGTGATGGGACAAGGCGTCTAGAGGAAGTTAGAAGTAGCACCAGTGGGGAACTGAAGACCATTCATTCATCCCTGTTTCCATACCTACTGTATGCAAGGCTAGGTGCATATGAAGACTTCCCTAATGCACTTAGAGTCAGAAAGATGGATAATGGTAATGTTTTTTTTTAACATTTTTTATTGACATAATCATTTTAC